GGGGGGGGGGGGGCGGTTGAGGTAACCAGAGTGTCAGGACGAAAGGCTGTCTTTTCTGAACACCTGAGTGCCCCACCTTTGGTTTGGACAGAAGTGTCCTCAACCAGACCCCAGTTTCCTTTATGGGGCCAGGAGAAGAGCCCTCTGCAACATCACAATACCTTCCTGCTGAGTGAGTTTGCTTTGTCCCTGGGTAGCCCGTTCAGTTTTTATCTGTACCAGCACCCTATTTGCAGTGTTAGGAAATATAATCACCCAAGTCCTGGTGGAATACTGCTCTCAAATGCTCTCTAATCATAATTGAAGCAATTACCATTTCTCATCATAATACAGCAAAATGATTTGTAGACACATTTTTGCATTTATTTAATCAAGCCAAAGAAATGCAGTTTGGGCTGTCATTCTTTTTATTTAATAAGAAGGACATTGGGTACTTCATATTTTTCCCTAGAGTGTGGGCCAGCCGACTAACAAAGATGGCATGGTACCATCAGATGGGTTTTGGTGGTTTTTCTCCTTTCCTGAAGGAGGTGTGCTCGAGATCCTTTTCCAAAAGTAATTTTCAGTTCTTTCAAGTGCCCAATCCTTGAAATGTAAATATATAAAATAGATATTTAATGTGTTCTGCTCATGAAAATAATATACATGCTTTGACACAGATAACTACTAAAATTTTATCAGATATAAAGCTATAGATGCTTATAAAACTAGGAACAGAGCAATGTCACTTGAAAGCCATAAATATGTCTAATCGCAAGCAAGGCCAGAAGAGGTCCTGTCTTTTGACATATAACATCATTTGTTAATTGTCTTTTGCAGTTGTTCAATTTTATAAATTAAGAAACTTGAATAGCCTTAGAATTTTGATTAAATCCTGAGATGTCTGAGATAAATATTACCAGCTAATGCTCACCCCATACAGGCCCCACTGTTGCCTCCCAGACCCTTTTGACTTCTTTCCTGGTGTCCCTCCTCCCTCTCAAGCTAATTATGATTTTCTTTGTGAGTTCCTCCCTCTCTGCTGTGCTTTAAATGTTGGTGCCCCTGGCTCCTTATTTGTCTCTATTCCCCTGGACAGTGTCCTCCACTGCGAGGCCTCAGGGGTAAGTTTGTTGTAGGGAAGGCGGGGCATGCAGGGAATGCTCCCTAAGGAAGTGACCTTTCAACTGGGCCTGCAGGAGAGGCTGTGCTGGGCAGTGAGGAGCAGGTAGGACTGGAGGGAGCAGCAAGTGCAAATGCCCAGCACCTTATGGACGACCTGGAGTGGAAAGCTAAGAGGAGCAGGTGGAGTTCAAGACTATAGGGCTTTGTGTGCTGCTGGGAGGATTGATTGGGTCGTATCCTGAAGACAGAGCTAAGCCTGGAAGGATTCTGAGTGGGCAGTGACATGATCACACTTGCCTTTTGGAGTGATCACTGTGACCACAGCGTGGAGAACCAGTGAGTAGGGGGCAGGGCTGCCGACAGTTATAAGTCCTGCGGCTGCTGCAGCAGGTTGGGAGTGAGATGATGGAGGCCTCCTGCCCCTTCTGGGATGGCCGCAATGCCCTGACCCTCGGGCATCCACATCTCTGCCTCTAGCCCTTGGTCGGCTTGTTCTCCTAGGACTTCCCACTCCAGCCCCAAGGCCCTTAATTGAGTGGTCTGTTTTCTACAAGGAAGGTGTGCTTTCGGAGAAGTGAAGAAGTTATTTTTTTAAATATCCAATTCACGAAAGAATTTTATGACCTCCCAGTGTTTTCTGCATGCTCCTTGAGCGATGTTCACTCTCATCTATTCTCTCAAACACATACTGAGCCCAGGCTGTATAGTAGGTATGGTTCCGGGTGCTGAAAACAACACTGACCAGGGCAGATGAGGCCTCCCCTAACGGAGTTTATGATCCAGGTGAGGAGAGAGATGCGGATAAAAATAAGCACATCGCATGTATTCCTTACTCAGGGTGAACGCTATATAGTTTCTAAGAACCCCGTGTGTCTCCCCTCCAGTGCGACCTATCCATTCCTCTACATCCAGCCCTGCCATCTCCATCCACGAGGTAGGACACACTGGAGTCACCAAAACCGAGAGGAGTGGCATTAACAGGCTGAGAAGTGAGATGAAACAGGTAAGAAGACCTCTCAGTGGCAACGGTGCCAGGAGACAAGTGGTTTTCCTACCCGGGCTCACCTCAGAAAGTGGCAGAAACCCAGGGCATGCAGGGCATGGCCTGCTCTTTGTAGAGAATGTGAGATCCCTTCTGTCCTGGAATCAGCACGCCCCGTACCCAGATATCCCAGAGCTGCCTGCACGTGCTCAACCTTAACTTGAACGCGTTGTGTAGACATTACAGAAAATGCCCTTCCCCTTGTTTGCCTCTGTTGCCCAGAACGGCTCTTTTGAGTGTGCCACGGCCATTTAAAATGTAGAGTCACGCAAAAAGTAACCACATCATCTCTCCATCAGATGTGCCCTTCAAATGAAATAACCAGAGGAATCTAGAAACGGAATGGAATGCTCATGATACCTGTATTTTCCACCAGCCACAAATGTCTCTTTTCTTTGTTCACTTTTATTTAATTCACAATAAACTCCTTGTGAACTCACCGCACAAGACTACAGGTCAAAAGCTTTTTAGTCCTAATGTTCTGGTACTGTGCTAGGACTTGCCCATGACCTACAGTAGGAAATAGTTACCTTCTGACCATGAAATGTGCTCAGATTCTCTTCTCCATTTCAAATGATGACCCACAAGATCCGGGAGACAGTAACGGGTCACAACCTGCACTTGGGCCAGTGCTTCCCTGGGTTGTCTAGAGGGTGATGGGAGTAGCAGGGCACCTTTGATTCGAAACTGATTTATTTCCTGATGTATTTTTACTTTCAGATGACTAGGCGATTTAGTACCGACGGACAGGTGAAACATCTTTGTTTTGTTTCGCCCTTTACCGTGCTTGCCTCATGTTCTTTCTGGCTTAAATGTGGAAAGCGAGGCTGTGAATACAGAGTCTGAATGTTCGGAGGACAGTTCTGCCCATGAAACAGGCTTGGGTGGAGGCGACTCCACAGCTGTGGCAGGCAGCCCCGGGAGCAGGCAGAGTGCTGGACTTGAAAGCAGGAGAAATAGCTTTAGCCAGGCCTTTAAACAGAATCCATTTATTAAACTCTTGGGTTTTATAGGGTACTGTGTGAAAGAGATGGTCCCAGGCTTTGCCCCAGTGGGAGTTTCTGTTAAAAAAAAAAAGGGAGGGGGAAATAAAAAGTAAAATGTGGTCATTGGCTATATCAGTAGAAACCTGGATGGTTTACTCAGTGGTTAGAGCGTCAGCCCTCGAACTAAAGGGTCCTGGATTCAGTTCCAGCCACGGGCACATACCTTGGTTGCAGGCTCGACCCCCAGTCAGGGCGAGTGCAGGAGGCAACCAATCGATGTGTCTCTCTCACGTCGATGTTTTTCTCTCTCTCCCACTCTCTCTGGAAAAAAAAAAAAAAGCAATGGAAAAACTGTCCTTGGGAGAGGATAATAAAAAAGAAGAAAGAAAGTATACCACTATTCCTAACCCTGGAAGGAAAAAATGGAAGGATACTCTTTTATACCACCTTGTTCCATGTTTCCTCCTCCTTCCTCCAGAAAATTGGAGTCATGTTCCTAATGATTTAATGTCTCCATGACTGAGAGAGTGTAGAGGAATCATATGATATCATGCAGGCTCTCTGTGTTGTCCCAGGGTAAGTAAGACACATGTGCTCTCTCATTCAAATTTATGTTTTCCAAGTAAGGAACGGACTTTCCAAAACATGTTCCTTTGCCAGCCACTCGGTGGCACTGTCCCTCTGGTTAATCACATCCCCATGGCACCTTCCCTAGAATATGGGTTGTTTCTTCTGTCTTCATTTAATGTTGTCCTTGCCTATTTTGGGGACAAAATGATCACCTTTCTTCTTTGATGGCTTCAGTACAGTTAGCCAAGTACAAGTTTTCTACTTGGCCACTTCCATCAAAGAAACATCTTCTCTATCCGAAATTTAATAGATGCCATGGCATTTGAAATTTCTGTCCACTTTCGCAAGAACACCAAGCATGGGTGCACATGTGTATGACAGGCACTATTAAGGGTACAGTCTAGATTTTTAGATGAGGAAATACTTATTTGGCCAAAGGTCATCGTTCTGATCTTATTCATTCATTTAACAAATATCTATTGAATGCCAGTAGGTGCCAGATGCTAAATACTGGTTGTGGATATCGTGTTGCTCTCTGTAGATTTTCACAGAGAATCTACCTAAAAGATTGGCATTTCATGGCCGTGACTTTGGAAAATAAATCGATTCTTCACTTGATGAGGAACGCTCCGCATCTGACTGGCATGTAGTACCGTTCCATACTGAGAGAAAGAGCGTTTCCCGGGCTCACTGCCGGAGCCCAGAACTCTGCCTGCCTGGTCCCTGGGGCTGTTTGCCTGGCTGCTGAGTGTCCTCTGCACTTCTTTCTGCAGGTGTTTTCCACACTCTTCTGTGTTCCTCCTCTCTGCTTGCGTCCTTTGGTGTCACTGCACATGACTGAATGGACTCTCTTTGTCTTGTAGCTCTTTTCTGTGAGCCAGGCCGCACCCAGCAGTTCGCATTGCTCCAAGTCTATGGTAAACCATGCACCCCAACCCTTGTCCCACCGCTGCGCCTCCTTGTTTGTGGTGTCTCAGTCCTCTTGTAGCCCTTCTCATGCTCCTACCTCACCCCAAATTCCTGAAGATCTGAACAGCTCTAAGTGTTTTCATTTGACTGTCTTTATGAGGTGAATCTAGAAAGAAAGCTGAGAAGTTCTTGAACTGAGCCTTTTCTGTCCAGGAGCTTCTGGAACCTCTGGGGCAGTGGTTCTGGGCCTCTCGCTGGAGCTCTAGTGGTGAACCATTGCCTGCAGGTGCTCATGGGCACTGTGCACCCATAATGCCCAGCTTGGCATGAGGCCTCAGACAAAGTGGGGGACAAGGAAGTGTTGGAATCACTGAGGCAAGTCTGAATCTTTGTCCTGAAATGAAAAGGAGGAAACCAGCTGAGTCATTGATGAGTGCGGCTGTAATTACTTTTATTTGTATCTAATTGTTGCCGTATTTAAATGGCAATAATGAGCCCAATGGAATAACCCAGCCTAACAGCCTTTTCAAAAATAAGACCCGCTGAAGTCAAAATGAGTCCACAGAGAATACTCCTGCCTCGTGCCCTGGTAGCGTGCTTAACATTCGGATTTCATTTTCAAGCCTTTCCGCTTAATGTTGTGCACTGAGAAGTGAAAGTGCCTGATAGTCCAAAACAAAGGTAATGTGTAAGGATGTGGGTTATCCCTTCCCGGCCCGGAGACCATGCACTTAGGATCCGTCCACGGGAATAGGCAGGCCCAGAGCCTTGCTGCGGGGAGGGAGCACGGGATGGCTTCACCCCATCTGTTGCTGGGGGGTCCCCCACATTCAGGCCTGGTCTCAGAACAGAACTGCTGGCCCTACCCCAGCGCATCCCTGGAGGAGGCCACAGTAAGTCCAGCCTGAGGCAAGGAGGTGGGCAGGAGATGACGTCTCTCCCTCTGCTTCTGCAAAGCGTGTGTTCCTGGAGCAGAGGCAGCCATCGCCCCAAATTAGGATAAAGCCCTGTGCTGAGTACAGGCAGAGCAGAGAGCAGATGGAAAAGGCCAAGTGCATATACCATACTCCGAGGTCCCCACTACTAAATGGGGATCCCCAGCCTTTTCTTTTTGTTTTTGGCTCCAGAGCCTCCCCCAATGGCCCAACCCCCACCCCATGTTATGTGTTGCATTCTCTGTGGCACGTGCAGTATGGAGAGGTGACTGCCACTTCTGGGGCATTGCAGAAGTGGACACTTTGGCATTTGTCTCCCTGGGTTGCAGTGTCTCTGGGGTACTCGCCTGCTCCGAGAGCCCGGTGACTCTGGGCACTGTAGCAGCAATGCCAGAGGCCTTGGCAGTGACCACTGCCCCACATGGGCATTTACCACCAGCCGGGCGTTCTCTTGGGGTTTTCTGTATCTTCATTCAGTGAGTGCTGCCAGACAGTCTGATAAGGTCAAAACCTCGAGCCAGTGTCAGGGTCAGGGATTGCCGCAGCTGGTGCTGAGCTGGGTTCACAGCTGACCCCAGAGCCTGCACTCCCACCTGCTTGGCCTCACTGTCAGGTTGGGGTTCTTGCTGCTGCGTTATCTTGTGGGGCTGGACACAGTGCACCAAACAAGTTCAGGAACCAAACCAGTACAGGAAAGAGTTAATCCAGCTTCAAGGACCAGTCAGGCTCCAACCAAGGAAGCACATTCCTCTCTGGGCAGGTGGTGATCTGGTGTTTTGCCTGGTTCACTGAGCTATGCTGCAGCACGGACTGTGAGGTTTCTGAAGGCCATGCACTGTCTTGCAGAGGTCCAGCACCCCGTCCTCGCCCACCGGCACGTCGTCGTCAGACTCAGGCGGGCATCACATTGGCTGGGGGGAGCGGCAGGGCCAGTGGCTGCGCAGGAGACGGCTGGACGGCGCCATCAACCGGGTGCCTGTGGGATTCTACCAGAAGGTGTGGAAGATCCTTCAGAAGGTGAGCTTGGCCACTGTACTGAATTCTGCAGGCCCTGGGGCTGGGGAACACACAGTCCCAGGGAAATGAACTGAGCCTGCTCCCCACCCTATTCCCTTTGTGAGATATGGTGCAATCTACTGGTGTGATCAAGTATAGCATGTGGTTGCAGAACAAGAGAACACACAGCCCCTGACCTTGGGTAGCTCACAGCCTAGAACGGGCTTTCTCTACCTTGGCACCGCTGACATTGGGGGCTGGGGAATTCTTTTTTGTTGGGGCTTTTCTGTGCATTGTGGAATATTAACCAACATCCCTGGCCCCCACCCACTAGATGCCAATAGCACTTCCTCCCCCAGTTCTGACAACCAAAAATGTCTCCAGACATTGCCAAGTGTTCCCTGGGCAGCAAATCACGCCTGGTTAAGTACTGCTGGCTGGAACCGCAGCAAGGTAGATGAGGTGACAGCCCAGGTTGTATGTGACCACCTTTGACATATTAGGAACATAGAAAAGTCAGAAGATAGATAAGAACCAGAGAAGGCAGGGAACGCTTTGGATGAAAACACCATGACATAGATTACCCAGAACTGCCCCATCCCTTAGCCTCCTGCACGATCAGACAGACATGGCATCCATGCCATTCAGCGACAGAATCTAGCAGTTCCCATCTGCAGGGCACCACGTCGGGTCCTGAGGGCTTCTAGGCTGACTCCAGGGGGTGGAGGGAGGTAGAAGAGGGTAAAGGGGGGATAAATGGTGATACATAGAAGCTTTTAACTGAGGACGATCCCCCCTTCCCTCTGGCAAGCACCATACTGTTATCTGTGTCCAGGAGTCTTGCTTTGCTTAATCCCTTCACCCTTCTCACCCAGCCCCCAGCCCCTCCCCTCTGACGGCTCTGAGTCTGTTTTCTATATCCATGAGTCTGTCTCCACTTTCTTGTTAATTAGATTCCACATATAAGTGAAATATTTTATTAACCAATGTCACCCCAATAAATTTAATTAATAAATAAATACTAAAGCTTATGTGGCAAACCAGGAACAATGGGCATGACCAATTTTTCCCTAAGCTATTTTTGTTAGCTCATTTCAAGTAGGAGAGGAGAGGAAAGTCATCCCAAGCAAGCGCGTACAACAGCCCCTTCCCAAAGCCACTGTCCCGCTCAGCTGTGCTATTTCTGTGGACCCTTAGGGAGCCTTTGGCCTCTGTGTGTGAGGATGGAGGTCTTCCTCACCGAGCTGGGCATGGGGAGGTCAGAGCAGTCCCTGTCCTCATGCAGCTGGTCTTCTGGTCCCCACGTGGGATCAGAGCCCTCAGAGCCCACAAAGGCCTCTAGTTCTCCATTCTCTGCCTCTTGTCAGGAGGCATGAGTGTTTGCAGCCGCTCTGTCCTCAGCCCTCTGGGACAGCGGTGGGCAGCTGCTGCCAGCCAGGACACTGGGATTTAGAAGGCGGCCAATTAGATTAGAACAAACTGTTCCTAGAAAATCTGCCCACTCTTCCTAGGGCATCATCCGGACTTCCACTGGCTCAATACCAAGACACTTTTATTATGAAAAAGCATTTTGTATTGAGTTGGCGCTTGATATTTATATACATGGGTGTGCGTGTGCGTGTCTGTGCATGTGCTCAAGTTTTTTGTGATTGCTGCTTATTATAGAAATCTCAAAAATAGATGCCTCACAAAGGCACAGAAGTATCACTTCGCCAGCAGGAGCCATGAAAGTCTCCCTTTATATGGCACCAGTGGGGGCTTCTCAGGCAAGTGAATGCGGAGCTTCCACAGAGGAGGACCCGGCAGCTCCTGGGGCATTGTTCGTGCGAGATCTGAAACATGCCTGCTGGTTCCCTACAATTGTTCCACCAAAAACATAGCCTGTGGGCAGCAAGAACAGCTCTCTAAAAATAAATGACAGTCTGGCGTGTTCCAGCCCTCACGCAGGCTTCCAGGGCAGGGCAACTTGAGTGTGTGCGCATGTGCGTGTGCACGTGTGCACACCTATCAATCATGCTCTGGACTCCGACTGAAATGTGATGTGTGTGTTCTTCCCACAGTGCCATGGTCTGTCCATCGATGGTTATGTGCTCCCATCCTCAACCACACGAGAGGTATGATGGGAAAAACCCAAACACCGGCCTACCATTTCCACCAAGTGCTATGTTTCACGGGCTCTGACCACTGATGCCTCGTTCAAGCTTCTTGCACACATAGGCAGGCCATCACACTTATTAGCACCACCTTTTCTCCTTCCTCTCAGAAACAACATTTCTGACTGTCACGGTCTTTAGATTTGAAACCCTATTAAGAGAAAAGAGCAAAGCCACATGCCACACTCATCTGACCCATGTGCAACCTCCTCTGACCCGTCTCTCTGCTGAGAGCAGTTGTCTTCCCTGGTTTCTTTTCCCCTACTCATTCTTTTAAAAACGGATTTTTTAGTTTTTACCCTGCCCAAGGCAGCATGCCATGTGCTGCAAGAATTATGATGAAGAATGAGAAATATGAAATGATCCCTGCCCCTGGGAAGTCAAAGTCCAGTGGGTTAGGTAAACAAAGCTAGGACAAGGCCAACTGCCTCCTCCCAGAGCAGAGCTTCGGCATCCTGCTCCAGAGGGTTCCTGCAGGCAGAACTAGGACAGTGGCCAAAAAGGAGGCAGCATTTGAGCTGAGCCCCAGACCCAGTGGGTGCTGTGGTTAATGTTGGTGACAGGCTGTGCCTGTCCTGGCTCACTCCTCACCCCTTGGAGGGTCCCTTTGGCAGATGACTCCACAGGAGATCAAGTTTGCTGTCCACGTTGAGTCGGTGCTGAACCGTGTGCCCCAGCCCGAGTACCGGCAGCTGCTGGTGGAAGCCATCATGGTGCTGACACTGCTCTCAGACACGGAGATGAACAGCATCGGGGGCATCATCCACGTGGACCAGATCGTGCAGATGGCCAACCAGCTGTTCTTGCAGGACCAGGTGGGTGTGCCCAGGCCTGCCCAGTCACCCCACAGCTAAGGTGGAGACAGAGGAAGGGTGGCTAGTTTGGCTGGGATTTATCAAGGCTGAAGATTCTTAGTCCAATAGGAAAGAATGTTCTCAAACAAAGAAAATGTCATCATAGATGGTGAAATATGTCAACCATCTGGTTAGAAAATGGCACAGTGGCCACTTGGGAAATCTAAAGACCTTTAAAGATAGACAGGCTCTTTTCAGCATAGGTTTTAGTGCAAACACCATCCTTGCTCGTATATGGCCCTGGGTAGACAAAACCACTTATTGTGCATTAGGAGAAGCCATCCTCTCGTTAGAGTCAAGGATGCCCTATAAACCGGGGCATGTGGAAACCCAGTGCAGTGCCCGGAGCAGAGGCCCACATCCTCCCTGGGTGCTGTAGGTTCTCCTTCCCCAGACCCGGAGCTCCATGGGCTGTGGGCCTGCAGCACACAGACTCATCACAGGGCTGCAAGAGCAAACTGTGCTCATTCTTTCCTCTGCCTTTCCCTCTGCAGATGTCGATTGGCGCCATGGACACCCTGGAGAAAGACCAAGCCACAGGCATTTGCCACTTCTTTTATGACAGTGCTCCAAGTGGGGCTTATGGGACAATGACCTACCTAATGAAGGCAGTGGCTTCTCATTTGCAGGAATTGCTACCCAATTCAGGCTGCCAGATGCAATAGGCGCTCTGAGTCTGTCACTTGTCCCCTAGCTTCATTGGGAACTTTCTTCTGTTGCCCAAGATCCCCTCTGCTGTCACAAAAGCATGTCCCATAAGAAACACTGGCAGGGCGGAGATGGCAGTGATCTGAAACCTGTATGTCCAAGACAAAGAAAGAGCTGAGGAATCCTGTGCCCCCAAGGAGTGGCATAGGATCATTGTCTAGATCCATTTTGCTGGAACGTTTTATAATAGCATCTGGTCTTCTGGAGCCTGAGGAGGAATTGGAAACTGGTCTCTTTTGAGTGCAGTGTGAACTAAAAAGACAGCTTAAATTGGCTCTCATAGAGAGTTACCGAAATAGGTTTGGTGAGCTAAAGCACGTCTTAAAGATCCTTCCAGTAGCAATAGCTAGACAGGCAGACCTTGACAAAGAGAACATCATAACAGGATGTAGTCTGTCTGGGGACCAAACTATTTACCAAATAGAACAACTCTATCTTTCTGGGGAAGTTTGTTTTTCTTGTGGCTTTCTTTCTTTCTTGACCTCTTGTTTTATTGGCATAGCTGCCTTCATTCATTTTTGGCTCATGGTCTTCAAGGATTTTATCCTGACTGTCCATGAGTTCGGGGCTTCTCCTGCCTTCTGAAAAATCCCACATTTTCCAGAATCTAGCAAAACAAAAAATTATGGCAGGGGAGGAGCGAACTGTGCTTATAGGTGGGCCAGCTATTGTTTTGAGGCTCATGGGAACAGGAAGTCCCTCTGGAAGGCCTATGCCCCCCACCCCCTCGCTCTCCATCCCCGGCTGTACCTCCCCTTTGCTCTGGGGAAGCCAGGTGATGGGTATGCAGTACCAGACGCCATGGAAGTTGGTGGTGGTGTGCTCCCTCCAAAGCAATGCTTCCCTCTTATGATAAAGCCAGGCTGGGGGCTGGGGACTCGAGCCCTTCCCATCTTATTACTCTCCGGTAGGTGTGGTTGGTGGTCTTGATATTAGAGGAGCCAGGACAAATCCTGACTGGACAGGGCCTCGTCAACCTTTTGCCAATGTCCTGGGGGATGGAGTTTCTCTCCAGGCATTGTCTTTGGGGTTGGGGTGGGGACAACAGGCAAACAGTTTCTATAAATAATGGACTTAAAAGGACAGTCAACTGGTGGCCACATGGTGAGCTCTGGCTGGTTAAGTGTGATGGGTTGGATTTGCAATAACTCTGACTCTGAAATGGGGATGTGGTCATCAGATCTTTGCTTGGAAGTTTAAGTGACCGTGGAGAAAGCCAATGCTTTAGCTGCTTTGAGGGGACATCGCTGTGCCTGACACCCCTCAGAGTCAAGATGCAGTACTGACAGTTCTGGAAGGAGAAGGAAGTTCCTGACATTCCCTGCTGAAGAGCCTCTCCTCAGTTCCAGCCAGATACTTTGCAGTCGCCCCTGGGAAAGACCATCCAGAGCACAAGTCCAGGTATACCTGCCTGGACTCAGTGGTATACAGGCACTGTCCATTTCTTCAAAGGCACAGAACTTTCCCGTATGAGGTACAGAGTAGTTACTGAAGGAAAAGGCCCCAGAATCTCTCAGCTTCTGCTCCCATGGACGTCCACGGTCACCGCTCCTCCTTCCTTCACCTTTCTCCCCCCCTGCCTCCCGCCCCCACCTTTCATGTCAGTATGTAAAACCATTCTCCTCAGATTACTAGATCCTTCCATCATTGATCAGCATGTGTTGATGATGTGGGAGTGTGCCGGTGTGGGAACACAAAGAGAAATGAGACGTGACCCAAGGAAGGCTGGTGTGAAAAGATGACCATGCTTTAGTGTGGTGTGGCCAGTGTTTGGAGAGTCAGACAAGGTGGGGCCTGCCCAGAACACTGGCACTGGTGGGGCAGATCCCAGCGACAGTGTGGGCACCGTGCTCCCCTCCCCCCAAGTTCCTGCAGTGCCCCACAGCCTTCTAGTTCATGCCTGGGC